GATTCCTGATCTCCAGGTATAGTTATACTGTATATACATGGGTTAAAGGAACTATATATCTTCAGTACATAGTTTATATATTGTATGTTGTGTTCTTAATAAATACTAATTGATAATGTGATTGTTCTGCATGAATAATCAGGCTGTTTCATTACTGTTATTATATACATTCACAATATTTTAATCTGAAATATTTTTTATTTATTTATGTAGTTTTGATCCTGCGCTATTGTGAAAAATTGTGCGAGCCCTACTGACATTTCTAGTTATTTGAAAGGTGTTTTTTTTAGCGTTTCCATAAACATGTTTGCTAAGTGCTATGGAGTCCAACGGTGTGCCCCCCCCAGATGTACTTGTGCCTCGTCTTATTCTGAAATGGAGTAGATAATGAAAATACGGCACTCCTTTCCGACATACAGTACTGTAGGCATGGCTTCTCTTGTAAACGTACACCATAGAGCGCTGGGACACCAGGACGAATATCACGATGAGACGGACAGGACTGGTGAAGGTTAAGTTGTCCTGCCACCTAGTGGTTGTGGCGACATCTCTGCCCGTATCTCTGGTCTCCTGGTCTAGAATCGAAACCGTATGAGACGGTCGGAAACGGTCAAGTTAATTTCAAGGGCAGCTTTGGAGTGATTTCCGGGATATGCGAATATGTTGTTGTTGTTGTTGTTTTTTTACTTTGCCTATGTCTTTGTGCAATTGGTATAATACACCTCTGGAGCACGGTGACCGATTCCCCTCTCGGAACCAGTATAAAATCGCGAGTTGCACTGAATCTCGGCGGCTGCTCCGCGTTCAGCATAAATATTATTCCAACCATCTAGAAATCATCTCGAATGGCGATGGTGAGGGAGGAGGCGAAACCCACCCCCTTTTATCTTTGACATTTAAAAAAAAAAAACAAATGCCTGGCGTCCTGAGATCCACTTTTCCCTCATAACTGTATACAGGCCCTTCTATCCATCTCCCTTGCACTGAACAATGCTGTTTTTCGCTCTGCCCGGACCACGAAGCAGCGTCTCACAACGCTTGCCCCCAACTGCGCTGGGGAGAGAGCGACCGGCTCCAAAAACAAACAAAAAAAAAAAAAGTGCGCGGCCCGTTCCTCGCCTTTAATGAACGCAAAGACCACAAAAGGCTCTCCTTTTTTTTCTATTTTTATTTTTGCACACAAAAAGCCCCAGAACCGGGCCTCCGGTCCCCGTCCCCACCCCTCTCTTTCCGGCCCCAGCGCGGAGCGGGGGGAGGTCTGTGTGTCACATGTGCGCGGCGCAGCGCAGCCAGTGCCGCAGCCGCTGGGTAGTGCGCGTCTTCTGCGGAGGGTCGCAGCGAGAGACGAGATGGGTGTCGAGATAGAAACCATTACCCCGGGAGACGGTATGGCCTCGCTTTTTTCTCCCCCCACCCCCTTTTTTTTAAAAGACGCAGCCCCGAAAAGGTGGGGATTTTGCTTTCGTGCTTTTAAGAGAGTTCAGGTGACCGATTTCACCCGTTTACGGCTCTTTCTTTTCTCTCCCCTCCAAACGCGCAGGAAGGACCTTCCCTAAAAAAGGACAGACGTGCGTGGTGCACTATGTCGGTGAGTAAGCTGGCTGGGTGGGGGAGGACTGTTCACATTGTAGGCCTCTTGTCGGGGAAGTGGGAAGCGGGGAAAATGAAATACCAGCCACTCTTGAGTGGGAAGGTTTTGCCGCAAAGGGAGACCAGACGGGGCGGCGAGCTTCGTGCAAGAGCTCAACCCGTTGTTGGGAGTTTTTTTTTTTGTTGTTTCCCGGCAGGATCAGCAGCGATCAATGGTTGTGCGTAAAACCTGCCTTGCGGATCACCTCTGGGCAGAAAGCGGGACGAGGCGGTGTCGGATTTAAACCCGTCCCGTTTCTGTTGTGGGGTCCGCCGCAGAGAGGCGGGGGGATTCCTGCTTCAAGCCCGACGGGTTCGTCTCCTTTGCCTGCTCCAGAGGTGTCCGTGTTTTTGGGAGCCTAACGTGACCTTGCGTCAAATCGAGCAAATTAACTAGGTTGAACGTCGGACCCTTCCTGTGGCCTTTGCGCCACCATGCTCGGGGTAAACTGGGTTACAAAGGAAAACCGAGAACAAGTGTGTCGGTTTGGCTTGGGTTCATGTAAAAACCGAGCTCAGCGCAGCCAACAATGCGTTCGACTAGACACTTCATTTCAGCTATAAAGATCACCTTAGTACTCGAACTTGTATAGGGTTTAATTTCGCCTTTAAATACCTATACATTTCAATCCCATTCGTTCAGACCGCTGTAATGCCCCTTTTTTCCGCCCATCTTCTTGTTTTTTTTTTCACGTTCTCGTTCCCCGAGCTCTTTTTCCGTCTACATTAATTATGGAGTTAATTTACGATCATTGTCGTGCTCAAGACAAACTGAAATCCATTTCCTGCGGCTACCGTGGACAGGCTTAAAGCATGGGCTTTAAATATGTGAATTTCAAGACTTCGTGGTTTCCCCCCCGATGGTTAAAACCGGTGGAATATTAAGAAGCAGTTTCTCACGGGGTGGGAGTGGAGAGGGGTCAGTAAGGTTGTACCCTTGATCCTCAGCTGTCCGGAGCGCTTGCTGTTGTCGGATGAGGCGCAGGCGGGGTGAATGTCATTCTCCGCGATTAAGGACTGGGCTGCGCCAACTGGTGATCTATCCTTGCTCGTCAGTCTCGTTCATCCTCTCGGCTCTGTCCTGCCCTGATAATGAAGCTGAGCCCGGCGCCCCCCCCAACTGCAGCTGCATCCTGTACTGCTGTCGAGAGACAGAAAATCCGGGAAGAGGATTCGTTTACGTTTTATGCCCTTTGAATACAACTGTATGCTATGCATGGCATTAGTGTTTAAACATTAATGGAATAGAAGGTGAGCGTTTTATTTGACCCGATACAGTGTTGAAAAGCCCACCTCAAGGCGTTTTATGGTGTTATATGGATGTTAGGAGCAGCGGGAGTGGTTATTCTGTCGTGATGAAAACTGTGTCATTGCCTGTAATTCATTCTGACTGTCCTCTTACATGACCAGAAGGCACGAAGAAGACAATGCGACATTGCTTTTCATTTCTCTCTCTCTCTCTTTGCTCTGTGGTGCTTTTCTGCTTCCAGACACATGCGGTGCTGAGCTGCCTCTTGTTCAGATGTGGAGGACATTCTGTATGCGGCTTTCTCGCAATTAAAAAAAAAAAGAAACATCAGAATCCTTGCCTTTTTAAAGTTGTTGCACGTGGTGGGTTTTGTCTGTCTTGGGGAAGACCTTTGCTGGGGGGGGTTGGAATTAGCTCCCGTTGCTTTCAGAAACCCCCCAGTGAGAACGTTCTGACCGCGCAGTGTTCTGTACCAGGCGGTGGACTGGATGCTCAGTGTAGGGTGTCATGGCTGCTGCATGAACAAGCCAGTGCTCTGTGTTCAGAGCTCAGACCCCCCTTTGAGAACTTTATGACCTGGGGGCCCCTGTTGGCTTGTCCTCCGCTCATCCTCTGAACAAAAAGACATCCTTGAGATTTCGGCTTTGATGTGGACTTCAAAATGTCAGAACTGGAGAACCACCTGACATGTAATGAAAGAAGAAAACGTCGCAAATCCAGATTTGAGGCTCATGTGACTTGTTTGTACTTTTTAATATTGTACCATGTCTTGACAGTGCATAATGGGAGGGAGGGATGCCATTTTTGATGACATAATTTTATTGTTTTAATTGCATTAACCCACCATTTCACTGAGGGGGCATTGAGTGCTTGAAGGGGTTTCGTCCGGCTCTCACCCAGGGGTGGGGTTTGTGGTTTATTTTGCAGGTTCACTGACGGATGGCCGGAAGTTTGACTCCTCCCGGGACAGAGACAAGCCCTTTCGGTTTAAAATAGGAAAACAGGAAGTCATTCGAGGCTGGGAGGAGGGCGTCGTCCAGGTATTTGTGCTGATTGTCAGCCTTCGTTGCAGCATGAAGCTCTTAGGAGTGTTCGTCAGGAGAAGATGTCAATGTGTAAAATGTGTGCGTGGTCTCAAAAGTCAGGATTCTTGTGCCTTTCAGATGTGGGTACAATTTAAATGTGCACCTTCCTTACTGAGAAAAAAGGGTATTTTTAAGTTGCGCTAGTATATAAATTGACCTCTTAGTAATGTCTGTTCTCCGACTGAGATGCCAGGGAATCGGATAAATGTTTGTACAGAGGAGTCGAGAAAGCCGAGATTTGTGCTGTCTGTGAGTTCCATAAATGTGTAATTAACAAAGGCCTGTCACGCCCAGGATGTTTGAGGCAATGAAGAAATTCTCTCTAGAAGGCCGGCCTTCTCCATAACACCTGGAGAAGGTTCCATAGCAGAAACATTTTCTTTTTCTTTTAACCTGGGCTGAACCTTTACCTTCATATCCTAATGTAAAGGGGTTAGCTGTAAATAGGTGTTATGAAAAACCCAGTATCTCGAGAAACCTTCTCGGAGGTGGTGGCTAATTGTGTGGTTCTGCTGAACGCTGCCTGCACATTTTTTTTTTATGAACTGGAAGGATCAATATGGCAATTCAGTAGCTGGTTCCATCCAGGTACAGCAATGGAGAGGTTCAGAGGGACTGCAGAGGGAGTTCCCTGGTTTTACAGGGAAAACAAACCCGAAAAGCTCCACGTCCTATTTAAAAGTGATCAGTGTGGAGGTCTTATATCATAGGGATACAAAAATCTTGCCGGACGGCGTGGCCCTGCTGAGCTGGGGCATTTGTGGGTCAGAATAATTACTCTTCCAACCTGCAGCGGATTTTTGCTCGTGTTTTCGAGCCCTGTGCGTTTCCACGAGAATGGACACTCGGGGGGGGATGTTTGCAGGTCCCCTGGGGGAGCCCTGACTCTCACAGCTCTGTGCTCTTGTTTCGGTTCGCTGCAGATGAGTGTCGGCCAGAGGGCCAAGCTGACCTGCTCCCCTGATTACGCCTATGGGTGTAAGGGTCACCCTGGCATCATCCCGCCTAATGCCACGTTGATCTTCGACGTGGAGCTGCTGGGGCTGGAGTGAAGCTACCCAGAGCATCTTGTAAGTCCTATAATGATATTAACGCTATTAGTGGTTTTACATGGTCTTGATCTTGTGCACAGGTTTTCAGCCGGCACTGACTTTCCAGTCCAGTGGAATTAAAAATACAGCTGTGTTTTTGGTCATAACACTCTGCTTTCTATGCGACTCAAGTCATCCATTGGCCTTGTGCATTAACTCTCCATAAATCTCCGACTCGGCCCAAGCATCATTACATCGAATGCCATGATGATAATGACAGTTATCAAATCAGTTCCATGATTTACTAAATCATAAGTACCTTCACGCATGATTTGCACATTACCTTATGTTTTATCAGAATCCAAATTAGATTCGAGGGCTGGAAATATGTTCTAATGCAGTAGAATGAATCAAGAGGGAATGGAGGGCTATCGGCTCAGGAATAAGCTGTGGTGTATTGTCACCTGGTTTAACTTCTCACGGCTGTGGCATTAGAGCAGCGAGCTTGCTTTTGTACTGATGTCCTTGTTTCTGTTCAGGTCACCGAGATGCCACACCTATGAATAATGCCAGAGACGTTTTAGCGAAGTTTTAATAACAGCCTGTCGCAACACTTTTTGTTTACTTTTAGAAGAGTGTGCAAAAAGCCTGACTCATAACGTGTGACTACAGGAATGTCAGGATTGCTGTGTCATGTGTGTTTCAATTTTTTTTTCTTTCCTTTGTAGGTTGCCTCCTGCCCTGGGCTTACGGAGAAAGCTAGGAGAGTGTGCACTTGAACATTAAAGGGGCTTGTCTTATAGTTCCACTTTGGTCACTATTTATCCATATAGAAAACATTCTGTGTATCATCTGTGACTCAGCTTTTTTTTTTTTACACACACACCCTTCCTTTGAAAGTATGGGCCATAACCTTTAAAACCTCGTGAAGTTCTTAATCTTGAATTTTAATTGTGCATTTGTTTTCAGGGAGGGTATCTGTTTGGATTTTTGCTCTTTTTTGTGTAGAATACGTTGTGCATGATCAAGCATTTTACTGATTATACCAATGAACAGTGGCAGTGGGAGAGGAAGAGGGTGAATATACAGTAATGTACAGCAGATCGGCGGGGTACTGCAGTAGCCAGACAAAGTGCAATGTTTATACAGAAAAGCACTGCGTGTTAAATGTTTTACACTGTTCTGAGTCATTTTGAGACAGGATAATTCACCTGATGGACTGTACAGTTTCCCTCGTGGGAAATGGAGTGGGGGTGGGTTTTATATTGGAATATCCCGGAATAACGTAAGCAGTTTTGAATGAGAGGAATCTCTTTAGGCTGTCATTCCTGCGTTGCTGTTGGAAACCTACTGATCCCAGGACGATATCCAAGCGCGTCTTGAGCAGCAGAGGACATGGCTTTCGCCAGAGTGGCAGGGGAGGTTGTTCCATGCACCTGCCATTCTTGGTGTAAGGCGTATCCCATTTTCAGTCCTCTATGCTCTGCTTCTTGAATTCCCCTTGCACGTCCCGCGGTCCCACACTGTGTGCGCCGTGAGAGACGTGATGGAGCATCGTTTGGCTGTGCAGTGCCAGGTTAATTATTGCTTTGGAATTGGAGGTTGGAGGGAGGAAAGTGTGGTACCCCCAGGTCACTGTGTTCCTTCATCTGTCTGGAACTAGAATGGATTTGCATGTCTTGTTTAAGAATTCAGTTTGTCTGCTTGTATGGTTTACATTTTTTTTTCTCTGGCCTCAGCTGTATTCACAAAGCCATAACGGAAAGATGACAAAACAGACCATGCTGGGGAGTGTATTTAAAGTTGTAGGACTTCTTACACAGTGCCTAAGCATTTTGGGCAGGGGAACATGCGATCTGCCCCGATTTTCATCTGAACAACTTGCCATTGTTTTGCAGAGACGAAAGCCTAAACTGAATCATTTCTACTCTTTTAAACGAGGCTTCAGAAAACCCCACACAGGGCTTTTACAAATCGTCGGAGTTACCAGTAATTGCTCCCTACTGCCTAAATATTTTTGTAGGGCCAGAAGCATCCTTTGTAATTACAGATGCTGGTTTTAGAAAACAAACACAAAACACGCATAAGAAGATGCTGGTCATCACAACTGTAATGTATGCTTTCCAGTGTGGCTTATCTTGTCCTTCACTGCACTGTATATCTGCTTCAGAACACGCAGGGAACAAAAATAAACAGGAAATCAAAATATGCTGTTGCAATAAAGTGCTTTCTACCTGCTTTGGAAAATGCGTGTCGGTGAATTTTTTCCGTCTCATGTAGTCGTGTCTTTTGAAATTAGTGCGGTAATGTGCAAATTCAATTTTAGCGCTTCATCGGTGTTCTCCTTGCCTCGCAACAAACGGTGACATTAACATCTTTAAAGGACACATAATAAAATGTGTCGGGTCTACTCGTGATTTCACCGCTCTTGAATTAGACCACATGGCTCTGTAAATGATTGCGTTGGTACCGTGTTCGTGATGCATGTAGTTCTGAAGCTACAGATGACATTGTATCAAATTATGCCAAGTAATCTTCCGAAGTCATGAAAGGACAAAACGCGCATCAGTTACAGGAATATGGGACAGAGTTCCGTGTCGCCTTTGTGAAGTTTCGAAAGGTAGTTATCAACATGCAGCGCAATGATCGTGTATTTTTGGTTATCTTAACTGTTAAGAAGGTTACCCTAGAAATACAGTATACAGGGGCTCTCGGGACACCGATTCCTGACAGTACAAAGGGTCTCCGCTGTACAAGTGTATCTTTGTCGCTTTTAATAGCTGGAGGGTAAACGTTTAATTTCTATTTACTGGAAATCCGAATTTCCAAATGTATGATAAGAACAGACGTTCACTGAACGCTGCTTTATTTGGGAATGAAGATTACCGGAAGATCAGTACCGTGACAAGTGCACACAAGTACTGCAAATATTTAATTAACGCATGTACGACATTCAGTTTCGTCTGGTAATTAAAAGCTGTAAGAATGTAGTTATGCAGGTAGTGGGAACTTTAGAGGGGCGAGGTTACAAAAACCATCTTTTTAACATGCAATTCTGACAGAACCCAGGGATTATCGTACGACTCGTTTAGGTGTGGTTGCCGCTACATGCGACCAATATTCTCTGTAGTCTACAGGTGGAAAGGTAAAATGTTTTGTGAGAGAGAGAGGTGGGCATTAAAAATAGTAAACTGTGGGTTATTATCAGCGCAGGAAGATATGAAGTCATTTATCGGCGCCAAGGACGATAGATTCGTGTAGCAATAGATACTGTACTTAAAAAACTACAATTCAGCATCCACCTACTGTACTTAACGTCGCACCATTCAAACTGGATGACTATACCACAAAGCACGCAATATCTGGATATTTATAATCAAGGAGGATATTAAACGCGGATTCCTAGGGATACCCCCACGTGATCAATACCGACACGAACGTGTTTCTGGAGTTTCTGGGGTAAAAACAAGCTTTCCTGAACTGATTAATTTCCTTGTGACACAGTCAGCTGATGCCCTGGCAGTCCAAGTACGTCATTGATTTTAAAGCAGGAAATCATCGCACAGGGTTACTTGCAGGAGAAGGAGGGTCGAGATCGCTTTTGGCGTAGTTTGCCTTTTTCCTCTTGCCTGCGCTTCTTGAATTTGTTCCTCGGCTTCGCTCCACATTTAAGGTAAGTTTGCCTGTTCTTCCTATGTGCTCGACAAACCGGGTTTTAGTTTTATTTTGGCTCACGCAGAGAGAACAAAAGGCTCTTCTGTATCCAGGCTGGCGTGGAAGTTTTCAGTCTTGTCTCACAGCGAGTTAAGTTTCGTGTTCCCGTTCTGGCAGACAAAGGAGGAAAAAAAAAGAGATACGCCTGTTCCGATAGCTTTGCTGTTTATGACGGTAATGTCCCGATTTGTAACAAAATAATGTATCAGTCTGAATCTTGAGAGTCTACCGCGGTGTTCGGACAGAGGTAAAATACTCCACTCCAGTCAACTGGCACCTTTTTCGATTTTGTTTTTTCAAGTTTCGCTTCTGGCGTGTTGTTGATTTATTTCCCCTCGCTGTCGCTTTCATTAGACTTGCGGCCGTCCGATATTTATTTTTCTTTTGGTTGTTAAAATAAAACAACTTAACGTTTCACTGGCTCTCTCTCTCTCTGTCTCTGTCTTTCTCGTCATACGTGTTTAGTCACCGGAGTGCAACAGCTGGACTCCCGTGTCGTTGTCTGAGATTTCCTGTTTTTTAACAGGCTGAAGTACAGTCTCCGTTTTAATGCGTTAAAAATAACTGAAATATTCTCAACGATGAACATAGAAGGGAATATTAAAATATGCGGTCTGTGAAATTGTAGATGATCGGTATATTTCTCATGTGTTATTTTGTTTTAAAGACTAACAGTTACAAAGGACAGGAGGCCAGTCGGCCCATCCAGTCTGTTGGGTAGTTAGGGTCTCATCCAGCTGTCTTGAACTAAACCGGGTTATCAACACCATGGCCATGAGCTTTTCCTGCACTCCTGCAACCTTTTCGGAGAAAAGGTGTCCCTTGTCCTCGGTTTTAAAAGCACTTCCTCGTAGTTTCCTCCTGTGCCCTGTGGTTTGAGTTTTACTGGTGATTCTGAAGACGTCCGCCGGCTTGACTCTCTCAGCGTCTGTAAGGATGTTGAACACTTGTACCAGAATTTTAAATTTCGATTTATTTACGTTACCTTCCACCTTATCATTTAATTAACTGAACAGGGAGGGTACTTTAAAAAAAAAAAGAAGAAGTGGGGCAATCTTGATGAGAAAACCAGAGTTTGTACAAGAATGACTTCTGAGAATTCTGGTTTTCTGGTTTTATTCTTCTGAAGGTACTGGAGATGGATTTTTAAAGAGCGTGGAAAGAGCTTGTAAATTCTAAGACCTCAGAAGTTATTTCATCTGGTCTGGGCTGAAATACTGGTTTCATTTACAGTGCTGTGCTGAAGATGCACTGCATCAATATATTTTATTCAAAACCAAGCAGTCTCCCAATACATGTCTTTTAATAAACCTTTATTTGCCACCAAATTATTATGCCAGTGACTAATCTTTCAATACCCTTTTTTTTCAAAATGTGGACATCGAGATGGTAAAATGCGTGCCACGTGCGTCAACAGAGATCTTGGATTATTCCCGGTTTGTTTGCGCGTGGGGAGGGTGTTGAGAGTGGGTGCCGTCTAGCGTTTTGTTTTCATTCCCTGAATAAAGATCGGTGCTAGAATTAGAAGAGGAGGCTCAGGGGACTTCGCCATGTGGACGATGTGGTTTTCCGCAGTCTGGGTATTCGGAAGACGCGCCTGTGTCTGGAGACCACAGGACGCGCACGTGCTCTGCACGTCTGGGAGGCCCAGTGAAAATTCTGGTCAGTGCGTTGGGCGTCGTCGGCCGTTTGTGCGTGGACGGAGTCTTCAGGAGCCGAACACGCCTCTCGGGCAGTCACGATGGTGGCCAGCTGGACGCCGGACACCGTGAAGAACCTCTAAAAGGGATAACCCTGCTGTAGCGTCTCTTTAGTTAATTTCCTTCTTGGTCAGTTTTCAGCCTCGCTTGGACACAAGAGATGATGCTTCTTCCCACTTTCCTGGTACAACAGCCCCCCTTCAAGCACGACATGAAGCCTTGAAGTCCTTCCCAGTGCACCTGAAGCCTTTTTGCCGAGCGTCGCGACTTGCTGTGAAAGCACTGGCTGTGTTTTTGAGATGTAACAAGTGCAAGGGGTCCCCAGAGGATCCTGAGCCTGACTGTGTAACGTGCTCCATGAGCTCACTGTTTATTCTAATGCAGGCTCTGTCTTAACTGTAATTCCAGGAACACACTATGGCTAAGGTGCACTTTAGTTTCTGAAGCGCCATTATAGCATGACTAATGGGCAGGTTTTTAGTGCTGGTTTCGCTTAAGAGCCACTCCTTCCATAATGGAAGCAAAAGATCAATCGGGTCCTTATTTCCTGATTTGATTTTCCTTGGCTCTCAACCTCTGGTGTGACTTCAGAGACAGCTCTGCGCCGGGGTCCGTTAGGAGACGCAGGGAGCGGGGGAGGAGATGCTGTGTAGTAGGTTTGAAGCTTCCCGGTGGGGAAGACGCTGCCGCAGAGCAGTCTGCTTAATTCTCCGACGTTTTTAGCTGGGAAGAGCTGCCTTGGTGACCGTGTTGCTGGGAGAGGTCCCGTTCGGCTGCACTGGGATCTGGGCGGTGATGGTGAAATCTTAGAGCACCGTGGGAGTTTAAAGTGCTCTGATGGGGCCGAGCAAGCCCCGAAGCATGGCCCGGTTAGCATGAATATTAGCGCTGTGCTCCAGGGAAAGAGGCCGTGCTGGTCTCTTTCACACGGAGAGAAAGCCGAGCTGGCAGTGGTGACCCCAGGAATCCAGGTTGTGCAGCTCTTGAACGGAACGAGAGAAAACACCACCGGGTTTTTCTAGTAATTTACCATCTATAGGTCTGGAGAGATCAATGGCTGGGGGCACTCGAAGCTGCTGACAGCTAGCAGCTAACTGATCTCTTCATCGATTCTTCTGGTTTTTAATGCAGGACTCCAAATTAAAGCACTCACAGTATAAGGTGGCTTAGCAAGGCGTGTGCCTGGGAGACTTGCAGTGGCTATGGTAGCAGAGGTTAGAGGGGAGGGGTGGGGCAGCGCACTGGCATGGCCGTTAGGGCAGCAGCCTCAAAGCACTTGGGTCCTGGGTTCGATTGTGATGTGGAGTGCCTCCTGTGTGGAGCTCGCATGTTCTCCCAGCACTCAGCTGGGATTTTTTGCCAAGTGGTCCAGCTTTATTTCACCTTGGAAATGTATGCTGCGCTAGGATCACCTTGTCTCGTGTGCACCCTGCAAAAGACTGACAGGATGTCTTGACTGCAGTCCCCTCTTGCTCCCTGCGCTTCTGGGATAGACTCTGGGTTGCCATGAGCCTTATCAAGTATTGGATGGATGCATTTGCTCGCTTCCTTTTTTTTGTCCCGGATGGGAAATGTGCTTTGTAGGCAGGTAAAGGTCAAAGACTTAACACGGCACCGTTAACGTGACATGATCCCATCGACAAATAAGAAACACACATGTGTGACGAGCAAGAAACAAATGAATGTGTCAGTCAAGTACAATATCCAATCAGCTGTCCAAATTAAGCAGGTTAATGACTGTGGGGATAAAAGCTAACAGTTGTTGCAGTTGAATTGGTCTAAATTGACACCCAGATGGAAGAAGCTCACAGTGAGTATCGCGACCACCCTTTGAGCAGTGAGTGATGACGTTGGCCTCCTGCAGTACTTGTTTGACGTAGATGTCTGACATCTGACATGAATCCTGGCCACTCTCCTGCTCAGTCTGTTTTCATGGCGGGTATGAACAAACCAGGCTTCCGCAGTGGGTGGCGGGACGGGACAGGTTCATCGTTGTGCTACATGCTGTTTCTGGACGTGATGGCGTTTGCTGTTGGTTTGTTACTGAACGACGTCCTGTGTCTGTCGCAGCTGCTGTCTTGTTTGTTTGCAGGGCTGAAGTTGATGGAAAGCTGACAGATTTTATGTCTTGCTTCAGTTGTGTCTGCTTGTCTTGTGACCTTGTTTTTTTTAAAGGTTGAGAAACCTTTAAATCTCAGCAGTAGTCTCGGCGGGAAAAAAAGACCACATTTCAGATAAAACTTCACTTTAACATTGGAGAGGTTTGGCTTCCGGGTGTTGCAGGACCTGTTTTCCAGTTATTTGTGCTTGGTTCCTGCATCTGCATTTACTCCTGCTAAAGGGTTCCCTGCAGCCGTGTCTCTCACCTCTTCTGTCACATGGGCTGCTGTGCCGATCGTCTGTTTCTCAGGGCTAACTTGCCTGTACACAGTAATGTAGTGCGATGTACATCGTCAGTAGAAACAGACTGGCCAAGAGGCACGGTCTAGAAAATGGTGATACTGTATATTGTTCTAGAGGCTACATGCTTGATTTTGCCTGTACATAATCATCTTTAAAAATGAATGTAAAATATGAATGAACAGCTGTAAAATGTGAATTGCCCTCTCACAGAGTGTCAGCAAAAAGGAGAGTCAGGTTTTTTGGTTCCCCAATGTTTCTCTCTAAAACTAAAAAACCTGATTTGTCAGCTTTTTAAAACTTGTCATTCATGGAGATACTTGTTGCATGATGTCGCTCAGGGGCAGTGCAGTTGTTTCCGCTTCTCAGTTAAAGTTCGTTTTTTGAATCCACATATTCAGTTTTATTTTTTATTTTTTTATTTGCAGTACAGGTTGCTTGTGATTCATTTAAAAAAGGACAATTTTGTAATTAATTGAAGGAATTTGGAAAATGTGTTTAGGGTGGGTTATTTAAATTGAAGGGAGTTTTTTCTCAAACTCACCCTGAAAAGACTGCAGGAAGTGTTCCATGACAGCCATTTCAGCTAAAAAAACTCTGCTGCTGTTGGTGTTGAAAAATTCCATACTCTAGAGACAAAACAAGATTATATTTCTGCCTCACATCCATTCCAATGCAAAACCTTTTTTTCTTCCCAAATCTGTCCACTGAAAATGACAAACATGTTTTTGATGCTTATTGCACAATACCACAATTTCTTCTGTATGTCGTTAGATGTTCATATAAAAAACTGCTTGTGATCGTCCAGTAACCCGTGATATTATAGGTTTACATTCCAAATTGAAATCGCATTTGCTCATCAGTCCTATTATAGGTAATCTGGATTTTGTGCAGTGCTTATTCTTAACTCGCCTGTGGATAATTTGAAGTCCGTTCCCCTGTTATAATTTAATGTGCAGTACATGTAGAAGCTCCTGGGCTGTTCTGTGATCTGCTGATTGCTTACTGACGAGTCTTCACCTTTTTTGTATTTCAGCGAGATGTCTCTATATCCTTCTCTTGAGGACCTGAAGGTCGACAAGGTCATGAAGGTAAAAGAGGCCTTCGGGTCTTGGCTCCTCGGCATCTAGTCTCGCGCGTCGGCTGTCTTCCCTCTAGGCGGGCCAGAACAATGGCTGTTCCGATTAAATCAGAACTTTGACCCTCCCTGCGGTCGCGATGGAAGCTGCCTGATTTTCGAACGCTTCTGGCTTCTACCCAGGCTGGGGCCGCCATCGGCTGGTGGGTCAAAGTCCTCGTTTAATCTGGACTTCTGTAAGCGTGCTGTTCTCGCTCTGACTGATATTCAAATACCAGGACTGCTCAAGTGCCTTTTCCCCCTCAAGTTCCAGTTCAGCTGTACACCTCTACTACTGATGCCATTAGTACCTGTGTAAAGATAAGCCGGTGTGCGAGTCCTGCACACATCAGAAAATGTCCTCTGTAGCGTGGGAGAGTAGTTTTTGATTCTGGATTTATTAAGAGCTAAAAGACCGGGTGACTTGGGGAGGAAATTCCTTCGGTCAGGTAAGACCAGAGGCAGAGGAGAAACCAGGTGCCCCAGCATCCCTTAAGAACTGGGCTGTCTTTGCCCCAAGGAACACCAGCGATGACCGGCTTAACCAGCTGGTGTCCTGTTATCTTGAGGTTTAAAGGATGCTAGCCCCTGCCTTGTCATCTTCTGTCCACTCTCTGTTCGGCCTCTCAATCTCACCGTTTTCTCCTCCGTCTTCCTTCCTTCCTTCTCAGGCACAGGCAAGTTTTGCCGCGAAGACATCCTCCCCAGCCATCACAGAGGGGGCTCCCGAGGAGATGCCTGCCGGCCTGGGGGCTCCGAGCTCAGGTTAGTCCCAGGATGTGTCCGGCCTCAGCAGCCTCCGTCACTGCAGGTCTATTGTAGGTTATTGTGACCTGTACTGTGGAAAAACCGAGATCTTTCCAATTTCTTCAATTTCTGTGTATGGTGTTGAAGAGCAAAAAAAAAAAAAGAAACATGGATTGTAAGCTTTTTTTCCTCCTAATTATTTTATGCTTTAGCATCTGATACTATGCAAAAGCGAACTTGTTTTCAAGGTTTGTGTTTGCGCTATATGCAAAGCATGTGGAGGGTTCGTGTTCCATGAGCTTGTTAGTTCCTGGCCTGCGTCCGTCGATCACCAGCTGATAACTGGGAGATGGGAGAGAGAGTTTACAGGGAAGCTATGGTGGAGCAGCAGTTCGTATTGCTTCGTGGGCAAAGATCCACATAAAAGAAACCATAACTGAGACTGAAGCCTGAATCCAGAAAGCGGTTCAAGAGCTATTGACTGGGTTAGGATAGGGTACAGAGTAGCACATCTTTATACCCATTCATTTCTAGGTATTGACTGGCCCACTCTTTGTCTCTAGTGTTCCTTGTGCCTTACAAGCACAGTAATATCTGCCGCATTTCTGTGATTTCAGAAGGCAAGGGGTGGGGTTTGAACCTGTTCTCCTGGAAGCATCTGAGCCATTTCTGATGCACCCAGTCGGTACTGTAGCCTGGGGCGAGAGGGACAGGAAGTGAGGAGGGGGTGGGGGCGAGCCGTAGAAAGGGGGCCGAACGGGTTAACTGCGGTGCTATTGCTGGCCCGGCTTTCTTTCACGGAAGTACAGAGGCTGAAAGGCCTGGGCCTTTTGTTTTCCCCTTTGGAGCTTGTTGATGGTTGCTATGGAAACTGCTGGCAGTGGGTGCTTGAGCCGTGGGAGTTGTGCTGTTTCTGGCCTGCGCTGGAAGAGAGATGGAGGCAGAGAGGGCACTGTCTGCTGGTGCCTGGCGCAGCTGCTGCAGGGTGAGTGGGCTGCTGTAATTTACTCCTGCAGGGGTGTTTGACAATTTGGAGGAGCAGCGAGGAAGTTGTCTCGTCCTGATGTGTAACAGCCTTAACTCTTTAGTGCCATCAAAGCTCCTCATACTGTCTGTGAGGTCAGCTGGGTTATTCACATGAGGTTTCAGCTGGGGATGACATAGTAAAGCTTTTGTTTTTTTTTGCAAGACTTCCCTTGGCCTGGCCTCTCTCTGGTTTTGCAAAGGCCTGCTGCGCCTTCCTCAGGATTTGTAAATTGGTGTAACTGATGTGGTTGACTAATGGAACGGACACTGCCTTGTTTGTCACCCTTTCTGGAAGTGATAAATTGAAGGAATTAAAGAGACAGAGTTTTGACAAAGGAGTCCTTTACACCCCCCCCACCCCACTAAAGTTTTGAAAAAAACATTAGTTTGGGCTGAAGCCCAGATTGTGTTTGGGTTAGTTCTAAATTCAGGAACATCACTTTCATTTTAACGGCCATGCCTTATTATTATAATAATAATAATAACAACAACAACCTTTATTTTTATATAGTGCCTTTAAAGGTGGCCGCTCAAAGCGCTTCACAGATCGACAACGAAAAAAAGATAAAAAATAAACGATATATCCACAATGAAAATGCGCACTGAGGGGAGATGGTAGATGGGGGTATGCTCTCTTGTCTCTCGTCCTTCCTCTAAAGGAAGGGCTCCCTTATCATCTGGCTCAGCCGGTAGTGAATCACTTCAGGACAGCTCCTGCCTTGCAGACAAGACCTCTAGCATCTAAGGGGCATAGGCGTGGGAGTTTAAAAAAAAAAAACAAACAGATTTGCTCTAGTTTCCCTTAAAGCAAAAGGCATGTGCCTGTCCTGGGCAGAGCGAGTGGTTCTCTGTGGCAGCAGTCGGCACCTGCTTCCTGCAGGCTCTGTGTGTGTCGGCCCCGTCTTCCCAGGGAGGCCTGCAGCCTCGCGCTTTCCCCAGCAGGCGGGAAGGGAGGAGGAGGAGGAGGAGCTGCTGCTACAAGAGAAACTTTGCCAAGGAGCGGTCTGGGAACGCCTGGAAACTATTACGCAAGTCCAGCCTCTTGCAAACACTGACACAACAAGCGTCCCTGTGTCGGACGCACCCACTCCACACACGCGAGAGTTTGGACGGCGTCCACGTCCTTGCTGCCCGGCGTCTAGCAGGCAGGCACCACCCCCGTCAGCCCCCCTGAGACCCCCAGCGGAACGGGTCGTTTGTAGATGTAGATAAACCCAAATGGGTGGGGGGGTCTAGGTCTTAAACTCTTGTCTGCACCCAGGGGTGGTGGCGCAAATCCGATCCGGGGATCAAGCGATGACTGCGGGGCATTATATAAATGTAAAGAAAAAAAAAAGAGCTGGTTTCCCATTTCCTCTTTATTTCAGCTCTGCTGTTATGTTTTACACAAACATAAAACCCTCAATATGAGGCTGTTCATTTAGTTTAGTTTCTCAAGCGAACTGTGGGAAACCAACGTCTATTCTAAAGCCTTTTGACGATCTGATCATTTCCTGTTGCCGTTTTGATAAGAACACATGGATGAGAGTTTCTAACGAGGCTGTTCAGGCATTTCAGCTGCTTTCAGCTTGAGCCGTGTGGGTTGGGTGTTGGTTGTAGATTCTGGCAATCCTCTGTGTGCAGAGAGGGCCTCCAATTTTCCCTAAAGCTTAACTTCCCACTCTGTCTTTTGCTGTTGTGTTATCCTGGGGGGGGAACCCTCTTCTTCCCATCGTTTGAAGATGTTAACAAGAAGAGGGGAAATTGTTGCTCTGGATTGGCTCAGCCAGTATGGACCGTCGCCCCAAGTGTAGGCTGAGCTTTGCAGTCTGGATGATACGAGTCTGATACTCTTGGGTTGTGTAACTGGAATTCTCCCGGTGGCCAAATGTAAGGGGCTTGTGGCCTTGCAGGGTAGGATTGGTCAGCTGCTTCCCTGTGAGTCCCCAGGTCCTTCTGGGATTGCGACAGCATCCGCGAAAGATGCGTCACTCCTCCGGCTGGAATGTAACCCTTTCGGGAGGCGCTGCAGAGTTTGTGGCGTGTGAAAGGGTGAATGTCTCTGGCTGGTGGACTGAGTGGACGCTGCCTCATGCTTCAGTGTTGACACAGTGGCGTTTGCCGAGACACAGACACCAGGGCTGATTCATTCCGGAGTGGTTACATTTTACAATCGGACATTTTTTATTTTTATTTTTTAAAAGGGAAAAAATATTTTTTTCCTTTTTTTTTAATGGAAATGGGTTTTTGTAAGTTGCTCCCGAATGGTGCCGTTCCAAACCCGGTCATTTCCACAGCATCACGCCGGGTTGGGAGAAACAAAAGGAACGAAGGAGCGTGACCTTGTGAGTAGTGTGGTTCTGGTTCACTGATGGGGGTTTTTCCTTCTCCTCTCTCAGTTCTGTATCCGGACCTGCAGGAGCTGGGCGAGTACATGGGGCTGAGACTGAACAGCGACGAGGTGCGGAATAACATGGCCCTGGTCCCGGCAGCGGACAACGTGAGTCCGAGCGTCGCTGAATCTCGGTGTCCGCCTTCCGTGTTGCACCTGTGCCCAGTCCCCTTCTTTACAAGCCCCTTCCTTAGTTTTATTTTTTTTTCTCTCGATAAACCGTCTGGAGGAGGTTTCTGTGAAACCCCTTCCGAGATGCTAGCCTCCCTAGCTGCAGGAAGTCTTTACCGATGAAGGATGGGAGTTACGGGAATCAAACATTTTGAGCTAGCATTCTCTTTTTCCGTTGAGAAGGTGATCTTTAAAACCAGGAGGAAATAAAATCAGAGTTAACTTGCCAATAAACACTGTTGCAATAATGTTGATCGGCGCATGTACCTCGGTACACGTTCTTTGACGGATGGCCAGGCCACACTCGGGAGACACGCGCACTGTTACCGGACGGACAGACGCAGATAAGCAGACACAAAAATACACGCTTTGAGCTTTTCATCCACTGCACTGCGGCACCACATCGGCGGTCTGCTGCTGCTGCTGCTGCATTTCTGACTCATCTCTCCAGATCACTAAAAGCCTGTCTGCCATGAGACTAGAGCCAAGAGCTTCCTCAGCACGGAAGTGAAGCTGACAGGGGGGCAATCTGAATTCAAAGGAAATGAGGATGTTTTTATCTTTTCCACTTCCTCTGCCAACTTTTTCTTTGTGCTGTTACTGGCTGGGAAAAAGGTGCTATATAGAGCCATTTGATAAAAAAATTCCCATGATTCTCTAATGCAGCAACCCTGGTCTGCCTCCTGCCATTTTCCTCCTCTGCCCCAGCTAGCGGAGAACCAAGTAAGATTTTCTTGTCCGGTCCCGATAGCGAACTGTTACTAGCTTTGATTTTTAGTAATTTTGCAGGTACAGCTGAAATAGGAATGTGTCCCTTCTGGTATGTGCCTTTTCTTTTCTGGTTGCGTTTACAAGAACAAATGGCATTCGTTTGGGTTTTGGTTGATTGTGTTAATGACTTTGCACCCTTCCAGGGTCTCTATCCAGTCCCGCACGAGGCACTTGCTCTTTAGAGACACTACTTAATCTCACCAGTATGAGATGACATGTGGAGAACATGCCAGAGATGCCTCAAGTCAGAAATTGATCCCGGGACCCGAACACGCTGCAAGCTCTCGTTGCTGACTGCCACGCCGCTGGGCTGTGGACGTAGAAAATCGAAAAGATTCAAAATCTCTTTAGGAGGAGTGAAGAAATTAAATAAAATTGCGCGTTTTGACTGTAATGTTTTAGTTAATAGCAGAAGTTGTATACATATAAACAACATTCATTACAAAAACCTAAGATTTCTTCAACAAAATTCAGCTGATTCAACAAGCTTAACAAGTTATAAAACTCATAGCAATAATGCAGGTCAAGATGGCTGGGGGTATGTGATTTGTATTAATTGTATAAAATAAAATAACACTGGGTAATTCTGGCCACACGGTGCCAGACATAAACGTGTGTCATAAGGCTTCAGGAATTCAAGGACATGACTGGATCCAGTGTTTACCAAAAATAGCTAAACTTCCCAAGCTATTAATAAAATTGAGTAGCTGGTTATTTAATTTGACCGGGGATATTCAGTATCCGATTTTATTCTTAATTGCTTGAAGACGGTGGTCTTTTCCCAGCAGCCCCTGTTTCTTGACTACTTCACTGATGTACTGAAACCTTTGTCAGTGTGGCCTCCACGCAACATCTGTGCAGCACATAGTCTGCTATCAGCTGTCCTATTAACTGCTCTTGAGCCTTTAAGAGCAGATGTTAACCGCGCGCTGCACGGTACAGCAGGTTTACAATCCTGCCGTTTGTCTCTCACAACGTTCTGCATGACCTCAAGCAGACGTATCTCGGGTGTTATCAGCTACAGCACCAGGAACACCCGACAGCCAGTCACCCCTACAAGGAAAAATTCAACTGGCCAATTGCCAGCTGATTATATATCAGTACGCCCCTAGTACTGGCTAGACGTGCTCACAGAGCAGAGTGAAACAGATCTCCCTTAATCTGTTTACATTTGTTCCACATTTCTCATCTGTGGTCTGCTTCCTAAAGGCCTTTTCTTGTTGTTTTTCAGTAACAATATACAGTAGTGACACTTCAGTCAGTTTCAAACAGATGCTCAAAACATTATTTCTTTTTGTACTTCTCGCTAAGGCTTATCTGTTACCTTGGTGAATGCTTTGAAAGTTTGCTACATGCTTGAGATGGAAAGACTAATTATCACGACAGACGGATGACGTCACCGGTCTTGTCAGCGTCGGCAAGCGCTTGCGGAGTTTCCATTAATTCTCCGTTTCTTCCTCTCTCTTCAGCAAGTGGCCACGGCGCCCTCGGCTATGGGCGGTATGGTGTGCCCCGTGACGGGCGGCGACGTGGGGGTGCGACGCGCCGAGATCAAGCAGGGCCTGAGGGAGGTCATCCTGTGTAAGGACCAGGATGGCAAAATGGGCCTGAGGCTGCGCTCCATCGACAACGTGAGTGGCGCCTCGGAGCTGGCTCTGGGAGGCTGTCCGGGTGGGAGGGAGAGGCCTTCCTCCCACGCTCCCGGCACCGTGTGGAGCTGTGGGTAGTTTTGGTGCCAGCAGCATGAAATTCAGGCTTCCTGGGAGTATCAGGAGCTTGGGTGCCGTTGCTGAGGCCCAGCGTCGGGGGCTCTGATGGGACGAGCACTGTTCTTCAGTTCTGAAGCCCCAGCTGAGCTTTCCAAGGGAGTCCAGAGGGCAAAGACCAGTGATCACACAGGGGTGGGGGGTGAATGAAGAGCGACGGAGGGGAGAGGGGGCAGTTCAGCGCGCCGAGTGTCTCCTCGAGCATCTCGTCGTGTGGCCTCCTGAAGCCGACACCCAGCCTTCCTTCAACAACGTGGCCTGCCTGCCTGGTTTTCCGATTGGGGGAAAAACACATTCAAGTGTTGCCCCCCTAGTTTCAGCTTGTGTCCCCTGGCTTGTGCTGACTAAGGCAGGAAGTTCTTGCACCTGCTGGAGTGGCTCTTGACCATCCCGTTGGGATTCTTCCTTCCGGACCATGATTCCCAGTGCAGAGCTGCAGTAGGGTGACCTACTCTCCTTTAGTAGAGCCGGTGAAGTCATGTCTTGGTGCTCTGCCTGCCCTGCTGTGCAGTGAAGCTGCTGGTGTGCGATGGCTGCTCATCGCCCAGGTGGGGGCCGCACTGCAGTGGTGGATGAAGTTCATCACCCCTCTTGCACGCAAAGCACTCTGGAGCTGAAAAGTGTGCAATAATGCAAAGGATTCATTATCTTAAATCCTACAGTGACATTCCCAGTGTTGCTCCTCTCCTGCAGGGCGTGTTTATCCAGCTGGTCCAGGCCAACTCTCCTGCCGCGCTGGCTGGCCTGCGATTCGGAGACCAGGTCCTGCAGATCAACGGGCAGAACTGCGCAGGCTGGAGCCAAGACACGGCACACAAGATGCTGAAGGTCGCCGCCGAGGACAGGATTGAGCTCATCGTGCGAGACAGGTAGGCCATTAGAGGAGACTAGGTCTCCTGCGTACGATGTATATTCCGAGAGCAACTCAGAATAAATGGAAGACTTAAACGTCTTCTCGGAAGGATGTCTTGGGAGAGGTTTGTATTCTCTTCAGCTCCCCAACCTTTGTTTTCCCAGCCAGATGTTGGAATTGAGAGCCCAGAAATGCAATTCAGCTTGAAAAACAAGAGAACTAAAAACTCAGATGGTTCTGGTGGGAGGTAGGAGAGGAGAAAGAGGAGGCGTGTGCAGCTCGTTCAGAGCTGGTGACTAAGGCTGTCCTGGGCATGAGTTGTTTGTAGGAGGTGTTCTATAACTGAGGCTGTGAGCACGTTTTTTAAACTTGTTCATACCAAGTGAGTCATTTTTTTTTTTACCAGATAACAGTTGTAGTTTGACTCTGCGCCTCCCGCAGCGCATGAAATAGTCCCGTTTCCTCTTGTCACGGCCGGCTGACTGCTGGAGGGCAGTGGCTGTGACGGATCGCATGTGAGTCTGTCTGTCGGTCTCCCCCAGGCCTTTCCAGCGCACCATCACCATGCACAAGGACAGCTCGGGGCACGTGGGCTTCATCTTCAAGAACGGCAAGGTCACCTCCATCGTGAAGGACAGCTCGGCCGCCCGCAACGGCCTCCTGACCGAGCACAACATCTGCGAGATCAACGGGCAGAACGTCATTGGGCTGAAGGTGAGGGACTGCCTCGTACGGCCACCCGGCTCCGCCCCATTCCTCAGTCCGCACGCGGGGATGTCGAGATCTTAATTTCGAGAACGAGAAAATTTCGGTTCTAGGCTTAACGTCGCAGGTTATGAGAGAGGACAACACGGGGGCATGACAGCGGGCACTTCAGTATCACAGCCCCGGGGTCTCGGGTTCGATTCCATCTAGGCCCATCTAGTTTGCATGTCCTCCGTGTGTTCATATGGGTTTTCACTGGGTGCTGTGGTTTCGTTTCACTGGTCAAAGACATGGAGTAGTGTCCACTCTAATTCTGCCTTCTAAAAGGGGATACAGACAGTCCTGGACTACTGTTGCAGAGGACGCTGGTATTGGCTAGGCTTGGATTGTTCTTCAGTCTGAGTTGAGCCATATCGGGGAAACAAATCTGATGGCCTGTGTCTCATCATTAATGTTCTGAAGGACAGGCATTTGATCCAGTATGCCTAAAGAAGGCAAAGAGGTGTTTCAGAGGGAGGTACTGTACAGCAGAGTGGGCTACTCACCTGTTTGACTCATATTTGCTGAAATTCCTGAACCTGTTCCCTCTTGTGATTGCAGGACCCTCAGATTAAGGATATTTTGACCGCGTCCTCCAGTGCTATCACCATCACCGTCATGCCTAAAATCATCTTTGAGCACATGGTGAAACGGTAGGTCTGACGTGAGAATTAATACCAACTTCGTCACAGCTGGGCTGACGAGGAGCATGTGTACTATAGGGCTGCATCTTCATGGTCAGCAGTCCTGCTGGAGCTGCTCAGGAGCTCTGCGGTCTGAAGGTTTTTGATGCTGTTGCTAGAAAACGATCAAATACACTGTTTTTCTCTGCATAGGTGACGAGTGGAAGGGGAATAGGGATCAGAGAACTGGGGCAGCAGTGGTTAAGATTCTGGATTTGTAAATGCATTCAGATCCCAGATGAGATGCTGCACTTGTACCCTTGAGCAAGGCACTTCACCCAAGTCCCCAGCAGTAATGAAAGAGTGCAGATTTGTGCTGTTTTGTTACTTCGGCTGCTGGAGGTCATCTGAGACTGATCTGTTTTGCGTGGTTTTTTTGCAGAATGTCTGCAGGTCTGATAAAATCAGTGATGGACCACTCCATCCCTGAAGTGTGAGGAGAAGCCCAGGAGCCTCATCCACCAAGACATCCGAGGGGCTATCCAGGTGCTCCAGCTCCCACTCCCTGCTGTGTTCAACCACAGTCCCAACCCTAATATCTTCCAAGTTACATTTCTGTTCTGAATGTTCTAGATTTGATTTTTAGCTGCTTCATTTTTTATACACACAGGCGTAGATGATAGTCGAATATTCCTTCCAGCAAATGATTATTTTATTATACCACGGTGTCCAAAGTTTTGAGCCTTTATCCATGTTATTTTGAACACCCATGCATTGCTGTTCAACCTTCTGCCGATCCGAGGCGTCTGTGCTGGATGGAAAATGTGCTGGCTGTGTGGTGAAATGGCTGTGCAGTCACGCAGGCTTGAGATTAGGAACCTGTAAGATTAATGATTTGTCTAGTCTCATTGCACAGTGTTCTAGCAACACATGTAGGTAACCCCTGGCTGAAAAATGTTAAATAGCCTTTTCATCCTGGAGATAGACTTCGTATGCTAATTACAAGTGAATAACATTTATTCTATTCATTGTTTCAGGAACTGTAAACCCAGTGTTACGTATATTTGGAAATGTTTTTAGATTTTGTGTAACCACTGATGGCTACACAGGGATGGGATTTTCTGACATGCTGTTATACTTTACTTTGTATTAAAATTTCTTGATTTCTATTCAACTTTAAAAGAATAAACATCTTTCAAAACTGTTTGTCCCTAGTCAGTCCCCGTTAATCTTAATTTCTTAATCTTAATGTTTGAGAATTAAGAAATGAGATGGAAATGCAAAGCACTGTGCTGTCTCCACCCCCATTACATGTAACACAAAGTGTACTAAATAGTGCTTAATATTTAATCATTTATTGATCAGCTTTTGAGTACACATGAGCAAATTAGAAAATACAGGACACCCATATTTTCATGCTGTTTAATATAGATAGGCTTTGGGTTCTTTTATTATATAGTGTGGTGAAGTGACTATGGTACAAAATGAATGGAGATGTCTGTACAGATGAATATTGCTGCCATATTTTTATTTTTACAGACATTAGCTCCAATATGTGTTTCCACATAGCTGATACAAAGGTATTCACAGACACAGCCAGTGATTTAAAAGTTTAGCTTGGACATGTTCAGAAACACGCATAAACACATACATACTGTACGTGCAGAGGTACAACATGACTGACCAAGGCAGAGAGCACCCCCCTTCCACCAAACAGAACAGATCACACGTCTGCACGTCACACTGAACAGAACAAACCCCCCCCACTTCACAGGTAAGAGACTTAAGGCCAACAGTTAGAAACAATTAATTCCCTTTCTCAACCTTCAGTACAGCAAACCATGACCCCTTACCGTGGAAATAGCAGGGGAAAAAATGAGTTTCCCATGCTACGTTAATTATTTGGTGGCACAATGAATAATGTTTGAGAAATAGTCAGATTGCTAGAGAGCGTGGACTACGTAATTTGTGAGTTTTTTAGGAGTTGATGGGGAGGGGGGGCTGCTGGAACATGGTATTGGGAAGGATACCAGAAAAATTAACCACCACTGTCACAGAATGTCAACAACACTCATAGAAAGACAAGACAATTTATATCCTAGCCTAATGTGAATGCTAACAGTTCCGAGATCACCCCTATTTGCGATTCAGCATTCCCCCGTCTTGTTAGTTCGCATCTAGAAAACATTTGGAAAGTGTAACTTCTCTACTGTGAATGATTGTAATCTCAAAACAAAACTCACCCAGGACAGGACATGGTCTTTGTTTGGAATATAAAAAGTATTGTGCTGTACAGGTTAATTTAAATCTATCCATACCCACCACACACTTGATACCAACTCCCAGTTACTTGTGAAAAACGAGTCACTTTCACCCCTGGTAACGTGCACAAGCCTTCAATTCGGTGCTCAGATTCTGACACATTCAGGGTAGCAAGCCTTCCTGAAAACGAAAACTTAATTCCCGGTCCTCACACTTCTAGCCCTGTCCCACTGGAAAAGCTTTGACTCGCCGTGGCTAAATTCTGCCACACAGACTGTCTGAATCGAAGAATGCCGTTGCTAAAGACGAGTAAAGCAAAAAAAACGTACAATCTTAAATTCTAAAGGCACCTAGCCAGAGTGAAATACATGTACCTGAAGAGCCTGTGTCTGACTAACACTCGTCTTTCAAGTGCTTAACATGGCCAGCTGGCCGGAGGACACAGCAAAATCTCAGAGCTGATAAAAAAAACAGCGTGATTTCCCAGGGTTTGAAAGAATTCTCCTGTTTTTGTTCAGTGGGCAATGTGTTGGGTAATTGCTAAGATTTTATACAATAATTTCACAGTCATAAAAAGTCTGTTGCCCCTGCTGCATTTCCAATTTTTTCAAACCTGAAAGCTGATACATACATCGCAGATATGAGCTATGTCTCTATTGACGGATGAAGATGCATCATATCTTACCCTCGATGCTCAGCAGCAGTATTCCAGCTTGCCTGTGGTGCCACCTGCTGACAGAAAGGGAACATCAAGGCCTGGGCACACCTTAAAATCTGCCTGAGCTTTTTTTTTCCTCCCACTAGACCTCGTGTGTAATCCAGTTTGGGGTTTTCTTTACAGTTTTACACTGTACTTTAATAAACTGGTGCAATGAGTCACTATGAACTCCTTCTCCTTCTCAAGCAGGTTGCCAGGCTTTGGAAAGTGTCCATAATTCCTGTTTGGCTTGAGCAGTGGGCCTAGGAAGGAGAGTGACTGCCGTGCTCATCACTCCTAGACAATGACTGCGTTCATGTCTGTAAATTGTTTAATTGATACAGAAAAAAATTAATGCCCTGGTCATGAATATGGCTTTTAAACACATTTTGTACAAAACGTATGCTTAGAAAATTGGGAATGCACACGGTTGTAACAGTATAAACCTTCATTAAAGAAAACCTTTTTTGTCTAGAATACTCCTGGATGCAAAAACCTAAAGCATTTTCGTGCAAGAATTTTTTTTACAATGACGAGCGGCACCTTCCTTCCCAGTAACTCTTTATTGTGACATTGGTTGAGGCGATGGAGCACACTCCGAACAGACATCAAAACAGCCAGTCACGCCCAGAAAAATCGCAAAGCTAAAGCACAGAGGATTGTCAAGCGTCAAAGCTAATGTTGCACAAGTTTCGGAAAAAAAAAAGTGACAAAAGGCAACTATGTTTGTGTTTAGAGAGGATAGCTCTGTCAAGGACAGCTCCTCAATTTGAGACAAACCACACATAGCTCAGATTAAATATTCTGTGCAATAACAGCTACAAAATAAATTAATCAATCTCATCGGTTTGTAATATTAATTCTACACCACTGTTTTACAGTATATGAATTGGTTAACTCTTCACCTGGAACTCATTTACATATTTAAAAATAACCGCCCCTAGGAATCTAGGGGAGACATCCATCAAGAGACATGCAAAGCAAATCTAAATTTCAAGTAATAATTTCATAAAGTGATTTTACAGTGCAAATAAAAAGGACAGGTTTTGAAGAACAATATTTGGCATTTCAAAACTATAAATGACACACATTTTAGTATATTTTATCCTCTTCGATTTGGAAATTTAATAATCAACTGGTGCTGGTTTTTCCTGCTGTAAAGTTGGATTACCTTTCCTGGGGAAGCCTGCTCCGTAAAACGTGATATATTACACAAACAAAACAAGAGCAAACAAGCAACAGTGCTAAAAGAAAAAGTGGTTCGTTTTTTTAAAGATTAAACAGATATAGCAAAGAGCAACAGCTAACCACAGCATCTCTTAACATGACCAATAAAAGAGGAACAGGACTGATTCCTTTAAAAGGAGATTTTAGCATCCCCTCTGAACTCATACTTGTATCCCTAATTGATTCGGCCTATTGACAAGAGTGTTACTGGGACAGGTAGCGAGCTGTGTGCTGCTCCACAGCGATATCTGATGAAACCGCAATGTGACACTATCAATGAGGTGTTAACGGAGAGCTGTGGAAGATCAGCTACTGGAGACTCTCAGCAGATTTGTGTCGAGTGATCACATTTCCATTTCTTGACAAATTACAACTGATACAATCCTGTGTGCTCCCTCTACCTCCCCTGAAAGTGAGTAAAAGTGTGTATTAATCCTGCAAACAGAGCAGTAAGTTTATGTTCCTCAGCAGTCTTCCTCTACCTCTTCAGTTAGCAAAGTACCATGACAACACTGCGAACTCTGGCAGGGAATGTGGTTACAGGCCTGATGTATTTATTTCAGACATGCCACACGTTTCTGCTACCCTGCAAGCTGTCATGGACATCTATCTGATCACAAAGCCTTCCCTTATTAGCTCTCTGTCCACTCTGTTCACAGAGCAGCAGAAACATTGTCTGTTCGGACCCCTGTAGACCTGTCTTCTAGGATAAAAGCAACAATAAATAGGCACATTTATTGTTTAATTAACATCCTGCCAACTTTCACAAAACCTCCATACCATTCTTTGTTTACCTCTCATTCCCTGTAGATATTAGGCACAACAAAAGGTCATAAAGATTTCCTGGCATTAAATGCACACATAGCTCACCGTGCAAGAAAGAGAACTTCTCCCACTAGAAACCAAATACAAAACACTCGCTGTTTGACTAGGTGGGTGCATAAACAATGCCGCATACCAGCTGCTGGTATCGGTCCCAAATCCGATGCCCATCAATATACTCTGTGTATGATTACACATGCCTTCCAGCCCTTTCAGTAGACCACAGATTTCCAGAAGTGCTTTGTAGAGAAACCAAGATCTAAGATCTTGATGAAAGGGGGCCATATTAATGGCATCAAAGCACTTCATACTGGATCAGCCAAAAATGTCTTCTCTTACGGTGGTACGGATGAATGTGCTACTTCAGTCTCAGTGCTGCAGCAGGGACTGCATGATCCGTTGCACCTGAACTGGGTTTCCATAGCAGCAAATCACATGACAGGGTTTGTCCGCATGTGGTCCTGGGAGCTCCAGTCCAGTAAGTCTTAAAGGTCACCAAAATCTCCTACTCCTAAAGAAACTGCCAGATATTTCAGCAGGTAAACCTACTGAATTAAGACAATTCTCATCCCTTGTATATGAGGGACATTCACTTTTCTGAACCACTTGATCCAAATTAACTTCTGGAATTGCTTGTGTGATAGTTACCTATAAAACCTACTAGCATGCGGTTCTCTCTAAGACGGCGAGGACATACCCCTGATTTAAAATCTTTAAGTCTAGAAAGATTTCAATCACCAGGGACCATGCATAGATAAAGTTCAGAAGAACCACCTTTTTGTACTTCAGCCATAATCCATAGCGAATCTACCTATACACACATTTTCTTTACAGAAAATGGAAAGGAATTCTGGTCTGGGTCAGGGGAGTTCAGTCCTGGTCCAGGAGGGCAGGTGTCTCTGCAGGTTTTCTGGGTCTTTCTAATGCAACCTAAAGAGTTGGGAGAGAAGCTGTTACATTCCTCTAGTTAAGCCAATAATCAGTTTAGGTCGTTGAAACCTGAGCTGGGATGAAAACCTGCAGACACTCCTGACCCTCAAAGACCCGGGCTGGTACCACAGATTTAGAAGATTGACCATTCATGTCTCCCGATACTTAAAATACTACTACTGCACAGTGTGAACATACACTGCCTGTGACTCTGGAAGATGGGTTCTGTAGGCAAAGACGCCCACATTCTACGCTGCCCAGTGACTGCCAGACAGTGGGGCAGCAACCAGACCCATTGCCCTTTGCTATATCACCAACCTGACCTCCAAGCAGATCCGGCTCCCTTTGCACCGGGCTGAGATACAATCAGTGTCAAAGCACAAGGCCCGTTGTCAGTCCCGGTGTCTCAGTGCAAATGTGGAGGGGGGGGG